GAACGTAAGTTGAAGCAGTCGTAAGTAGGGGAGCACCTGTATTCAAGAATGCATCTCTTCTATAATGCAGGGAAGCCAGTACAGTATTGAAATAATTTCTAATACCGTACCATCAAGGTTTTCTTTGAAGTGCAGTACTGTAGTTTTAATGACTTGGCATGGTGTTGTTTACATACTGTACTGTAGTGTATTTAAAAAAAAGTAGGTTATTAAAGCTCAATACTATTGCATGATCACTGGACCCCAGGGGATTGTCAGCAGTTACAGTCTGTTCCCTCGATGTTTGCAACTGAGGCCTAAGGTCAGTTTGTAGCAAGGCAGCTGATTGGCTGGTGCTGGTGGATGAACATGAGATTTCACTACAGTTCTCGTTTACTATTTAATCTATCATATTTATATTATGTTATTTTAAGGGATAATAACTATTCTTTGTTGATTTTAAGTTCTGTTAAGACAGTTTTACAGGATATTATGGTCAATTTATAGTAGTGCACCGTTCTTTCTTTGGGTATTAGAAATATGTGTAAAAAACCATAGAAAATCACCCCAAACTAACCAAACATAACCTAACCTAATCAGGAGGGGGGGTCCAGGAGAGGTTAGGTTAGATAGAACGGTGCACTATTATAAGAAAGCAAACAATATTATAATTAATTCTCATACACATGAGCTTCACATGATCAGCTTTAACCAATCAGAGGACAGTACTTTTTCTCTTAAGATAATTATATATCTGCAAAAATTTCATCTAGAAGTATTCATTCATGTTATGGCTTCCTCATGACCTAGCTTCTTAACCAGGGGGGGGTAAATTTGCAGATTACAGCAACCAAAGAATCTGATAAAAAAATTGTTTTTCTGGTGGTTTTTGATACGACTTGGTCAAATCTGACATTCATTTTTATTGGAAATCACTTGTTTTGGATTTAGCCCCCCCCCCCTCCCTCTAATAATACAGGTTGACAACCCTTTATCCGAAATTCCGAAAACCGAAAAGCTCTAAAAACCGAAAGTTTTTTGTGGGTCATATTTTTATTTTTTTTTTATTTATTTTTTTTTTTAACAGGGATTATTAGCCCACCCAGGCACAGATCACTGACCCACATCGGGGCCTGGGGGGCGAAAATGTAATTGTAATAATAATAATAATTATTATTATTCATAGTAAATAAAATTTTTAATAAAAATACACCAAAATAAAATAATAATGATTAAAATAATAATAATAATAATAAAATATAATAACAAAATTAATAATAATAATAACAATAATACTGTAATAATAAAATAATAATACAGTAAAGAAATACAAGAATGAAAAAAAGATCAAAAGTGAGAAACACGACCTACACCTATGAATTATTATTATTATTATTATAATTTTTATTATATTTTAGACCCCCAGGCCCCAATGTGGGTCAGTGATCTATGCCCGGGTGGGCTAATACACAAAAAAAAAAAAAAAAAATCTGAAAACCGAAAAATTCCGAAAACCAAAATGCCTCTGGCCCCAAGGATTTCGGATAAAGGATTGTCAACCTGTAATGGGGGAAAGCGTGGGAATTCGGGGTTCTGGGTGGGGGAGAGCCACGAGTGATTTGTGGTAATAGAGAATTCCAAAATTGTCCGAATCGCAACAAGAAAACATCAGAACACACTACGCAACAGAAATTCTGTTATTTACAAAAAAAAATAGTAGAAATAATAGTCTATTGGTTAATATATACGGTACAGGTGTAGAATAGCGCTAACACCAGAAGTTGTTTGTTGATTTGGTTAAAGAATTTCTACACACTAATAGCATGATACTAAACACAGAAATGGAAACGACAATACATAGAACCTGACCTAACATACCCATAGGTTGGGTATATTAGGTGAGGTTTTATTAGATTCTATGTATTATCGTGTTAATTTTTGTGTTAAACAACTTACCTTAATATTGAGGTTGATATACATCAGCAATGGCGAGGAAGAATTCATGGAAGCATTCACCATCATTTAGGAAACATCTCTTGAAGAGGGATTCAGCGAGGTAAACAACAAAAATGGCCCCGGGAGGAGAATTGTGAAGCGGGATAGAGTAAATAAAAAATAAATAAATAAATACTTAAAATTATACTCGAAAGTTGTCGTTTCTTTTAATATACTTAAAAGCATCAAAACAATAAGTATAGCAAAAAAAAAAGAAAAACAACACAACTTCTGGTGGTAGCGCTATTCTGCACCTTTACCATATACAGTCGGCCCTTAACATACGCTGGGGTTAGGTAACAGAGATACCCGTGAATGTTAAGAAACCGCGTATTTTTCCTACCCCCAAAAAAACACCCCTGGCCCCCATGTCCTTATTTACCATACGGTGCTCGTTTTTTAATAGTTTTGGTTAAAATACTGTTATATTAGTGATATTCTATTCATACTGTGCTTGATATAATACATTCACGGAAATGTAATATTTTTGCAACTACAATGCTGATGTCAACACAAGCGTGGTTACAGCGAGACTGACTGAGGGAGGGGGCAGGCGATGTGTGTGTGTGTGTGTGTGTGTGTGTGTGTGTGTGTGTGTGTGTGTGTGTGTGTGTGTGTGTGTGTGTCGCGCGCGATTTGAATAATGTATATTCCTTTGAATGTATATTCCTCCAGCGGCAATCCGCGTATTTGCAAATCCGTGTAAGTTAAACCTGCGTATGTTAAGGGCCGACTGTATACAACTAACCCACAGACGAGTTATTTTTATCACTTTATTTTCTTACATTATTTTCATCAGTGAGTTCTGATATGATTGTCATTTCTTGTGCAAATTTTTCGTTTCATAGATAATTAGGCGCATAGGTGTGCACTGATTTGTCTTGCCGGCAGTAATGAAGCCGCGCTCCGCTGCTGTGCTTTTCCCTGGGCTCGCCGCAGTTTCATTTTCAGCATGACGTGTGAAGGTTGTCACCAGTCTAATATGGATGTAATTTGCGAATTTAGGGATAAAGACAACAAGACTCTTCAATTGTTCAGACACCACGGAATTGTTCCTTAAATAGATACTGTCCACACTGCAGGAATTCCTGTGCTTTCAAACTGGAAAAAAATTTGTTCATTACTTCCTCAACGCCGTGGCTCAACGTTTCCCGCCATCACAATAAATTACTCCGCCGCCCGGGCTGCATAAGCGCCGATGTGCCCGCATCATCTAATGTCCAGAAAATGCCTCAAATTTCACCATATCATTGTAAGTTCTTTCTGTTTAATATACCGGGGGATCCGGGGGGTGTAGCCCCCCAGTAAGGAAGTTAAGTAAGGTTAGTTAGGTCTGTTTGGTTAGGTTGGTTAGGTCTGTTTTTCATGCTCACAAATATTAAGTTATGTTATTTTAAAAATATCCATTTTTTATCACATTTGTACAAGCTACAACAGTGTCTACTCTAAAAGTCAGAGAAAATACGGCATTTTTATAACAGTTTTCGATAAATTTCGGCCGCTGGTTAGTCCTGAATAATTACCGATCTATCAATTGCGTGTTCTGAATTCCCGGACCCCCAGAGGCCCTAGTCAGGTTTCGCCCCTGGACCCCCAGACGCTATGTAATAACCCAGTAAAGTGGTCAGCCTTCACGAGAATATAAATAGCCGTTACAGTATCTTCCCTGACTCCGAGTCAGGGACCAGAATGCATCATGGGTTCACACAATTTGAGCAACAGCATAGGGGCATAAGATGCTGATTTTAAAATTTTTAAAATTCAATAACTTCCTTATTATGAATGGTATTTTTGCATTTAAACATTCCACATTCCTACCACTAATCTATTATCATATTCTAATAAGACGTCTAATTAAAAGATAATTTTCATCTATTACATTACTGTCGCAAATGTATAATAACGGAGATAGCATATCCAAAATTTTCTATTTTCTTCCAGTAATCTTACGCCATTATCACCTACCTCACCTCTCACACTGCGTGTCTCCTGCGTGTCTCCTTGATTAATCATCACGCGCATGCGTTCCTGTACACGTCACACGACCAATCAAAAGCGTTATTTTTTTTTTTTGCAACCAATTAAAATGATTTGTGGTTTAATTTGCGGTATTTTTGGCCCAATCAAATCGATTTTTATTTTGGGTCTCTCATATTTAGAAATTCAACATCATTTCCGACCATGGAAGTCTGCGATGGGTGTCACTTAAATTATATGGAACTGATTGAGAGTTTTGGGATAAACACGAAGAAACTATAGCATTTTTTCGATTGCATGGTGTTCTTCCAACCTCAGTAAAGTGTCTTAAGTGCAAGACTGAATGTAAATATCGCAAGGAACAACATATGTTGCGTTGTGTAAAAATCTCAGAATCCAACGACGAACAAGAACCAGACCAATAAGGTAAGAAATATGTGATTCCATCATATGGGAGTCAGTTAGGTTTGGTGTTGTTTTTCTAGTGTGTTTTGGTGTATTTTTTATTTGCTTAGCCATTAATTTTTTTTTTTCGAAAAACGTCCCACGAAAACAAATCGAAAACAAAACGGTCAATTTCCGACGGAAATGAAGGTTATATTCGGTATAAACACAAATACACTAGAAAAATATATTTTTTACTTTTTATCAGAGTGGGAGGTGGAAGTGCAAATTTATCTTATCAATTTGCGACGAAAGTGTAATAAAAGAAAAGGATCATAGAAAAAATAATTCTATCGATTAAGAGTAGAAAATTTCCGGAATTCTCTGGTCGCTGTTTACTGCAATATTACCCCTTTGTTTTGCTCTATCTCCTATACAAATGAATGGTGTTCCGTCATTGTCCTTTTCCGAATGTAAACCGATTTGGCTTTTCGGGGGGTCAAACTTTTATTCAGGATATAACTATGTAACTTAATAGGTGCTCTTAGAGTTAGCCAGCGGTACTCAGATGCGAGTCCTTCAGTAGAGTACGAACCAAATGCTATTCAATACAGCGTCTCTGTTATTAACCTATGGCTTTACGATGATAAATACAAAATACTTACTTTGATATTAATTCTGTGTCGTCAATAAGAGACAAAAGCCTCTCCCTTGTGCTTATAGACGCCATTGTCACTGTAAACATCTGCGTTTTTGACAGGCGGATCACTCTGGATTGACACAGTACTTTTTATATTTTTTTCCCGCATCAGGGATAAAAAAAAAATCTGTCAGGATAAAGAAATACACTCTTCTGTATATTTTCCATCACATATATATCATCAATCGTATCGATAATTTTTTGTAGATATAATTAGAACTATTTAGAATATAAGGAAGACTGAATAGAACGGTTTGTGGTACAGCTACAGCAGCGGGCATTTATCAACAATATGTCCTGGGTTCAAGTCGTGATTCAGGACATATCCAATACCCTTCGCGATTTCGCCAACATCGGGGGAGGGAAACTTGACTACATCGCTCTCTACTCTGACCCTCACCGCCCACACTCCACCCGCATCCTCCACTCCTCCCATAGTGACCATTTCCCTATCCACACTACCCTCCAGTATGTGAGAATACCCGTTCCACCCAAGGGCCCTAGGCTCAGCCTACCCCTTGCCAACATACCCGCCTTCATCACTGCCATTGCTGAATGGTTTCGGGGTTACACTGTCACCACTGCAGACCAACTCTACCTTGATCTGTCCAAACAATGCACTGACCTCCTCCGCCCTGTCCCAAAACACCGCCGCCCTAACCGCCAGCCCAGGAGTCATTGGAACGTTAACCGTGACCCTCATGTTAAGTCTATCCGAGTATGGCACCGAATAGCAGTCGACCAGTGGAAGAAATCTCCCAGCTCCCCTGACTCTCTACGCTTCCTGATGCGCACAAATAAAGAGCTTCAATCTGCCATCACTCTCGCACGAGAGAAGCAGTGGTTTGATTTTGCTTCTATTGACCAGTCTACATCTATAGGTGATATATGGCGCACCATTAACCGTGCCCGGGGCACCAACGCTAGACCCACGCTCCACCCCAGACCAGCTGCCCGAGCTGAGGCGCTCTCCCAGACGTGGCAGGAGGCCGCCTCCATTGATGCGCTACCACCCGCTGTACGAGACCTCACCCTCGCACTGCAACCACAACGCCGACAGCAGATCTTCGAGTACCAAGACCTGCCTGCAGACACTGACGTGCCTTTCACACAGTGTGAACTACTAAATGCTGTTAAGCGTGGTCGGTCCACCGCCCCAGGCGATGACGGTGTCACATATGATGTGTTAAATGCCCTTATTGCCACCCCAGGTAACCCCTTCCTCTGTCTATTTAACCTCTCTTTTGATACTGGTCAGCTGCCTCACTAATGGAAGACTGCCACCACCATCCCAGTCCCTAAACCAGGCAGACAAGATGAATATCGTCCAATATCCCTCATCTCCTGCTTCTCAAAGATGATGGAACGCATGATACGCCACCGCCTCCACTGGAAAATTGAAGTCCACCTGCACCCTGACCTCTATGGTTTCCGCCCCGGAAAGAGCACTGCTCACTGCATCGCTCACTATATGGCAAACACCTCCGCCAAAACCTCCCTCTTCGTCGACTTCAAGGGTGCTTTTGATAAAGCCAACAGTGAAGTGATCCTTGAGGGCCTCGCTCTCATGGATGTGAAGGGCAAACTCCTCACGTGGATTGCTGACTACCTCTCCCATCGACAGGCCCGTGTCCGTTTTCAGGGCCACTACTCTAAGATCAGGGACCTTGATCTTGGCACGCCTCAGGGAGGTGTACTCAGCCCTACACTCTTTAATATTCTCATGAACTCCATCTGCCGCCTCAACGTCATCTTTGCTGAGCGCGCCCTAGACGGTCACATCATAAGCTACGCTGATGATATTCTCCTCCAAATTACTAAAATGCAACATGAACAACCTATACTCTCCACGTTCGCCCGGACCTGTCAAACTCTCGGGCTAGTCATCTCACACACTAAAACCAAGTTCATCTCACGCTTCCGGCATCAGACACCACTGACTCTGCAAGGACAAGACATCGATCAAGTACGCACCTACAGGTACCTTGGTCTACCTGTGCGAGCCACTACCAGAGCCACGACCTCCGCTGTCGCCGCCCACGTCATCTCCCAGTGCCGCCAACGAACGAGGCCCCTCCAGTCCCTCACTCACGGCCTCAAAGGAGCCTCTGTCAGGGTCCTACGTCTCAGGTACATTGCCATCGTCAGAGCTGTCATAGATTATGCCTCTCCTGTCCTTGTAGTTGCCTCCCAGCGCGAGAAACAAAGCACAGAGAAAATCCAAAACAGAGCGATGAGACTCATCCTCGGCTGCCCTATGACCACCAGAATAGAAGTCATGCAGTGTGAACTAATCCTGCTTCCCGTCTGCGATCGAATTACTGCTCTCAATGCCATCCTTGGTGTTAAACTTCTTCGCAGTGAGCAACCGACTCCCCTGTTGCGCTCACTGAACTCACATCTTAACTCCCTCCTGCGCCGGCCTGTCCCCATTACTTTCCCCCCCTCCCTCTCAACACTGGCCCGTCCACACTGCTGCTGACATCCTGCGTTATCACCTCTACACCCCTCGACCTCTCTCCCTCCCAAGTACACTCATCCGCCTCTACCGCCGTGGACTTCCCCGTGTGTTGACGTTGTCGTCCACACCTTCCCTGGTCGTAAATCCACCCAACTGAGGTATATGATCAAACTTAACTGCCTTGAGCAGATTAATGATGTCGCTTCCTCTCTAAAGACCTCCCACCCTCCTATCCTCGTCTACTGTGATGGGTCTGTTACCACGCTGGGCAGCGATGGGGCAGCTGTGTGGATTCCTGAGAACCAGGCCTGCAGGAAAATCAGGGTCCACGACTGGGCCTCCTCCACTGATGCTGAAAGCATAGCCATCCTCGCGGGTATTCATGAGGGGGCGACCTATGCTCGCACTGAACGCCGGAACCTCCTTATAATCAGTGACAGCACTTCTGCGCTAGCGAGGCTCAAATTACCCTCCCCCTCTTCCCCTGTACTGCGCACATCATTGTCATTCCTAAAAACCCCATTTAATTCATATTACGCTATATAACATTCAAATCCACCGCGCTTGTAGAATCTCAGAAAACGGGAAACATTGATAAAGGATAACTCACCTACTCAATGTTACTAGACCATGTGTTGTATTGTACCCAGGTACAGTTATATCATATTAATTGTATGTATTCATAGCATTAAGGAGAACTCAGGGTATGCATAAGATGATTGGGAAAGTCCAGTTGAGCCGGGCTACTGTACTGTAGGACTAGGTGTGGATCAGGGTTTGAAGGTCACACTATTTACGTCTGTGAGCGTGTAGCGAACATAACTTCCACAGATATCATATGAAAATACATGAGAACAATGGTCTGGAAAAAGGTTAAATGTATCAGAACTATGTGAGGTATTGGAAGTGACCCAGAAACTATACTTGAAAGGAAATATCTTGTATGCGTCGGTATGAACTTAATACACCTCGTATCCTCACGTGACATATACCCACGACAGGTACAGTGATCAGAGAATCTTATGTCTGTGTTCAAATAGTGCAATGTGTGAGAGGAGGGTCCCTAATTACAGTTTTAAGTGAAGTTGATACACCCCCGCCATGAACATTCGGCCTTTGTTTTAAGGCGCGTCCTGTACCCGCCTCGGGTGTACCGCGTTGATATTATAACCCAATGAATTTACCCACGAACTAGCAAACCAAGACCTTACCTTAGTGTGTAATTTAGGATTAAAATATGTGTTTATACGGCATGAGTGACAATATACCGAAAAGTGTTCAGGTGAGAACCGTAAGAAATAAAAGTAAAAATTAAAGATTGGAAACTGTAGGCCTACGCGGTGATGAGCGGCAGGGCACTGCTCTCAGTACCCTCCGTTCTACCGTCACCTCAGGTCAGTGTCCTATCGGGCTATATCCCGCCCTATAATTAAGGCTTATATAGAAGTTATTACAGTTTAAAGCTTTGCCTGATATATAAGTGTAATAGTAATGTGTTAGGGGTGTGATAACCGCCCGTCAGGCATTATTTCTCAGTACCCTCCGTTCTACGTCACCTCAGGTTCCATGCGGTCGGAGTGCCTTACTGCCCGGCAGCCATTATCCCTATGAGCGTCCCAACAGGTGGTGACTACTCCCAGCTATGCCAATCCACTGTGAACCTGTGGATTTCCAGCACACCACTACAAATGAGTAGTAACAAATAAGGAGACCGTGAGAAACTCTGCGGTCGTCGCTTGGAGCGACCTATAATACCAGGCGTAGAAATAGTACTGGTATGTCTCTTGGTGAAGCCCTCGTCTTTACCCACCGAGGGCGGTGTGCGAACGAGGTGCCTGTTGTGTATACCTAAGAGTCACAAGGAGTCCCATACCTGCAGGTATGGAGTGTAACATGTGTGTTGAGATGGTGCTACTATGTATGATAACCGACGGTGCTATATTCCATACAGGTGGAGCAGTCTGATGTGTTAAGGGATAGTGTAAGAAGGAATGACTGAGGTAAGGAGGTCACAGATTGTTATGCAATAAGTATGTGGATGACACGCCATTAATGTAAGACGTCTGGTGCCCATCTGGGTAACCAACATTTTCGTTGTTCTTCTGAGGAAGACCCATTCAATTGTATGTTTTTTACCAGTATGCTTTATAAGGAATAAATTAATTAAGACATGTTATGGTTTCACCCTTCTTTCCCCTTATCGATCTGGTCAATGGAAAACCTAACCAATGCCTAGTCCACTCTGCACGCTACCTAACGAGCTACATGCTGTCCAGAGGGGGTCTGGTGGCAGCGACCCTTAGAAATTAAGATTAGAGTTAAGTATTTACCCTTAGTATTAGTGACTCCCAGTCTGGCAGTATATCGTGACCCAAAGATGGGTCACAATGACCCAGTAGAAGTTATGCTTTTTGTCTTTTTATTTAAAATCTTAAATTTCATGCAAGCTTAAAATTTTTGCCTACCTTAGAATCTATCTAAGCCATGATTATGAAATGTACTTAAAGTAAAATCTTGGCGAGCCAAAAATTTAGACCTATCCATTTTGTGTTCCATTTGCCAAGACCTACCTCTGCAAGAAAGGGTTTCCAGCTTTGACTACGGTCA